ACCACATTTTTGTGCTTCTTCTAACTTATTTCCGATAATTTCAGCTTGATATGCTCTTTTCAGCTTGTTTCTGCAAGTTTCAGTTTTATCTACTTTTCAGCTACTATTTAGCTGTTTTATGCTACTTTAAGACTTTTCAGCTAAGTCCCCATTTTTTGTGCTCATTTTGACATTTTTCAGCCTAATTCAGAAAAAAAGTGCTATCTGCACTTCTTTCTTGTAATTTCAGCTTCGTTCTGCTTTTTTAGCTACTTTTCAGCTGTTTTTTTGTTGCCAATTTCAAATTTTTCCATGTAATGTCCACTTTTTTATGCTCATTTCTGCTTCTTTCAGCAAACGTGTTCTTTCTGTTTTCTTCTGCTAGTTTAAGCTTCTTCTACGTTTTCAGCTGCCTGTTTTTAGCTTTTTTAATCTAATTTCAGCTGTTTTCAGATAAATTGAGGGTTTTTGAGGTAATTTCTGCTACTTTCAGCCTAATTAACGTCTTTCTGCTAATTTCAGCTTGTTATGCTTCTTTCAGCTTTTTTTCTGCTAGTTTCAGTTTTTTCTGCTTTTTCAGCTACTATTTAGCTGTTTGTGCTAAATTTAGTTGTTTGTTTTTGGCTAATTCCACATTTTTTGTGCTTGTTTCAGTTCCTTCTTCTTTTTGGTACTTATGGTGTCTTTCTGCCTTTTCAGCTACTTTTCAGCATTTTTTGGTGCTAAATTAAGCATTTTGTAGCTAAATTATTGAGCATGAACTTTGATGCCATTTTGTAGCTAATTTCTTAAATTGTATGCAACTTTATGCTTTTTTTAAACTAATTCAGCAAACATGTTCTTTCTGCCTTCTTCTGCTAAGTGGAATTGTTCTTCCATTTCAGCTACATTTCAGCATGTTTTTTTAACTAATTTCAGCTTTTTTTCAGCAAGTTCTTCAACAATAAGCATTCACACTGCATGTTCGCAGGAAATGCAATTTCTCTAGTTAAAAATGTGAGAGTTTGGCCTGAAAATGCTTCTGCAGGGTCAGTTGAAATTCATCATTTTAATTGTTTTGTGGAGTTGAAATCGGAGCTCTCTACAGAGTAGGTCAATGTTGCATAAAAATGCTAAAAGGTCATTTTTGGATTACTAAAATCACATCACATTTAGACTACCGTAAATACTTCTCCTCTGTGGTCATTAAATTAATCTACCCTTTATCTAACATAAAGATCTATTAATCAGGAAAAACAAAAACACAACTAAAAGGTGAATCTTTAATCAACAAAACTGACTGATTACACCGTTAGCATGTAGGCTACACTGTACTTCCTGTTCAGCAGTAGCTCATTAAATCCACTTTTACTGGCAATAATGTGTAACTGAGGAAGTCAAATGATCAAAAGATTATTTATCTCCAAATGTTTGAGGATATATGTATTCTGATTGTATGTTTAATGTTTTACATTATTACAAATATGTGTGTGATTAATAAAATGGTTCTTACATGTTAACCATAATAAGTGTAGTGTTGCTGATTTATTATTACTCCTTGGCATGGTTTCTGCATTTCCCTAAAGCTTTCTTGCAAAAAAGTGTCCTGATCTGTTTTTATGGCCTCAAACTATGATGGAAGTCCATTTTTTTTGTTTGTTTTTTTGTTAGGAGATTCTGACGTCAATTTGCAGGAGTTAATTCTTTATATGCTACTGATAGATGCTATTTTTGCAGAAATGAACTGTTCTGCAGACAGTACTTTAAAAATAGCTGTAACTTAAATGTTTCTTTTTAGAAAAAAGAAAAAAAAACGTTTTATATAAACTTTAGCCATCTGATAAACAGTGGTATATGCACCAACATGTTATAAGAGTGTTAGTTATGTCTAGAATTAAACATTCAAGTAAAAAAGGTTGAGTCATAAATTTGTCACAGAAAACGAGTTGTTTGACTTCGCTCATCTTTCTGCTTGTTGCTCATTCTCTGATGAAACAACGGCCACAATGCAAATCTGACGCTGAAACATGATCAGTTGTTTGGTGATAATTATCTAAAGGTGATTTAAGCCCGTCTAATCTTGTTCCATAAAGGTTTTTAAGTTGATGTAATATTTAGATTTCATTTTGGAAACAACCTTCAGAAACTTGGTTTAAACGTCGACATGTACTGAAGGCAGGAAATGTTACTGAAATGATTCATTACGACGCACCAACAGCTTAAATTTGTAAAAAAAAATGTTTAGGGATTTAATATGTCTTCTAATGGCACTGATGCAATATTCAGGGGGCGATGAGGGGAACAAAGCTGTGCGTTAATGCTCTGCTGTTACATTTCTTGGCAGATTACCAGCTCCGGACAAACTAAAGGGCACAGATGCTGCTAGACAAATGGGAGTTTTCTCCTTCTGCTCGTCTTCGTCTCTATTCCCTCCATTTCTCCAGCTCAGTGTCTGCAGCCGACAGCTGAGGACAGGTGTAGGAGGACGTAATTTCCCCCACTGTGAGCGGAACCTGGAAATCATCCCTTCAGCTGCTGTGAAACCTAAAGAAGAGAGTGTTGCATTGGCTCAGACGTGCATTTTTGGGGGGTTCCTAAGACCTCCAGTAAATTATTTTTTAATTACACAAAGAACTAAGTGACATATTTTTGTCTCCATCGGGTTCTGGCTTATTAATGGGATTTTTCTTAATGTGTTGTATCTGTAGAAAACATTACATGATGCTTTATGAAGGAACGTAACTACAGCGTTGAATCTGTAAAGATTTGTTTCTTTATAATCTGCTATTTATGTCCTTTTTATTGTAAACAAAACAAACAAACAAACAAAAAAAGATTGACACATTTTAGATGATGATTTTTGACACACATTCTCCAAGTTCAGAGCACTAAACTGCCTGCAGTCACCAGTGGCTCCAGTAACTTAATCTCTATAGGTCTGAAACTAACACCAGCAGCCAGGTCAATGATTAATAAGTCAGTATATTGTCAGAGGTATTGACAGGGCAACTTAAAACCCAAGAAGTGTGGGGGTTATAACCTTCTCTCTGTTCTTAAGGCAGACTCTAGGGAATAAAAACAGTGCATAATT